TACTACCACCACTACTACTACTACTACTACTACTACTACTACTACTACCACTACCACTATTACTACTACTACTACTACTACTACTACTACTACGACTACGACTACGACGACGACGACGACTCTGGGGAAAACGGACCCTCCAAAAGTGAACGCTCGGAGGGGCGGGGGGGCGAAACAGGTAAGTGTATGCAGCAAAACGGACCCTTTGAACCTGAGAAACTGTGGAACAGGCAAGAAACAATCATCATCATCATCATCATCATCATCATCACCATTATCATCATCATCAACATCATCGTCAACACCAATTCCAATTCTTTGCCATGGCTTACTCGCTTTCTCTAACCGCCAGCCAGAATCGAGCAGCAGCAGAACTCGCATACACGGATTCAGGCTAAAGGTCCCATGGCCTCGAGGATACCTTCCCTCGTGAAGTGCTCGCTCATCTTGTGCATCACCTTCACGGCTTGTAGGGTTTGATGCGCATTTAGGCTACTTGTGGCCCAGAGCCGTCGCCTGCAATGTCAAAAGTGCTGTGTTGTGAATGTATGGCACAGCGACCCGACGGACCTCTTTTTGGAGATAGACGGGACAAGTAGCAGAAGCAGGTTTAAGGCCTGAAGGGCGTAAACCACCGAAATCCAGGATGTAGGACAAGAAGCCCAACAACCAAAACTCAAGTCGGAAGGGAACTTGGACCTGGGATTGTTTGCAAAATACAATGGATGTTGGGCTGATGACACCGGCGTCGAGTCACCCGGCGCCGCTTCTTTCGTTGAGCTGCTGTGCCGGGCGGATAATACACCTGAAGCGTGGTGCTGAAAGCGGTTGGGCCGATGGCAGGGGCTGCGGGCAGCGAGGATTTTGCCCTTTCCCGTCAAGGCTCCAACGGTTTACTCTGCACAAGTACCTACTCCATGGAGCCACCCACCTACTGTAAGCCACACCTCGTGACGAACGAACAGCTAGAAATCCACAACTCTAGTCATCTCAAACCGCACACACCTGGAGACAGCTGGCACTCCGAAACCTCAGCCACAGACGTGATGCTCAGCCCAAACAGTTCAAGGCGCCACCATTGGCTGGGCAAGGCGTCCCGGAACAAGCTGCTCGCCGTGCTCGTTGCGGGACCTGGGAAACACCCACAGCCGCTGAAGGAGATTCGGCACGTACCCGAGCAGCTTCCGTGCAGGTCTCTAGGTGTGCAATACCAAGCCGCCATGAGACATCTACCGAAGTTACTGATGGCCCAAGTCTGAAGCTTGCAACTCTCAAAGTCCAATTTGAGATCCCCGGAGCTGGTCCAGCGCGAAGAGGCGCAGACGCTCCCGGAGCCGCTTGGTCGAAAGCACCTCCGAAACGCCCCGGCCCGGGCTCGTTTGTGGCTCAGAAAGCTGACGGCCCAAAAGAGAGCCAGGGGCCCAGAAACACCCGAGAGATGGCGCCTCTTTCTGCACCGACCGCCAGGCCTGCGATGTGGCTTCAGTTTCAGAACTCTCCGCTTTTTGTTTCAGGCTTACCCGCCAAAGGTTTCGTGGGATTTTGCCCTCTCCGACCTCTCACAAGAACACTCGACAGCGCAGGCAGCATGTGCTTTTGGCTCGTTCGGGCCATCTGGTACAAGGTTGCCCGGCAGCTGCTTCTAGGAAGTGCCACCGAAACAATAATGTGTCGGCTTGCAGAAAGCTTTGTACCTTCTGCAGCAAAAGCCGCACGCTCTCGAACATCCTACGACTGTCCAAGTGCTGCAGTTTTCAAAACTCCGGACTTTTTAAAGCTCTCTCGGCATGGTTTCCGCTTGCTCAGGTCAGCTGCCTGAGCAAAGCGATGTTACGATGCCAGGTCCGAGGTCTAAGAACGATCGGCGTAAAATGATGCGTACCCATGCGCTACTCAGAATGCTACACGACACGGAAGTCACTAAAGCCCTAATAACAACCCTATCTTAAGCCCCTCTTCGGATCAGGCTTTGGACTTCAGTGGCCGCATGAAGCGGGGGACAGTGCCGTTCGGGCCCAAAGCTGTCGCGGCTCCTGCGGGACTTCGCGGTGGACTTCGCGGTGCGGAAGTTGCCTTAAGGTGGGCAGCCTCAGACACCTGTGGCCTTGCAGCTGTCGGGGCTGCGGCTGGCTTGGATGTGCGGAGGGCAAACTTCTGCGCGCCTTTCACCGGTGCACCAACAGCCGCTGCCTGATATCCACCGGTGCGTCTGACTGCTCGGTTGGACTGCGCAGCCATGGCTGCAGATTCCGCGGGTGCCAGGGCGATGTCGGCAGCTCCGGTCCCATTTGCCGGTCGCCGCCTGATGCCTGTGCCTTCCCAGGCAGGCACTGGCTCCCCTTTTCGCAGACGTTGAATGCGACGCACCTTTCCACTCGTCAGGTTGGTCTGCGTGCCATGGCTCTCATCCTCGAAATGCACTTCGAAGTCGTACCTGCCCAAAGTATACCGTAAGGGCTCATCCGTCCTGCCATCGAAGGGCTCGTTGCCTGGCATCCATGGACTCCAGCCCTTCTCCAACTCAATGAGCCAGTGGTACTCACCTTCGTAGGATGCGGTGTTGGTCGCGAGGTAGCAGCAGGTGGGCAAGTTGCTGTCGGCCTTCGTGGTTTGCATGGGCCTGTCCGACATCTCCAGGGCCTGGGGCTGGGGCTGCGGGACTTCCTCACCCTCCTCGACAGGTGGCGCCTGGCCTTTCGGTACAAAGCACAAGGGGCGGGGCTTGCCAGTGGAGAGATTCGTGGAAGTGCCTTCGGTCTCGCTTTGAAACTCCACCTGGAACTCCGTCTTGCCGAACATGTATCGGAACGGCTGATCAGTGGGTCCATGGAACTTCTGCTCCTTGCAAGCTGAGCCCAAACCCAAACTCCTGACTCCACCGACCAGCCTTCTCTCCCAATCAAAAAAACCTCAAAAAAAACTAGCCTTACTTAAGGGACGGTTTCTGCAGATTCCGGGCAGGGCTCTCCCACGATCCAGGCGCTCCAGCCACGCTCCAGCTTGATGAACCACTCTCCCTCCACAGCCGCCACTGCCATGATCACTGCTAGATCCTCTTTAGTCTCTAGGCCTGCGCAAGTCGAACCTGTTTCTGGGGCGCTTCAGCCAAAGCCACGCAGGTCATCTTTTACATAAGAACGGAGGCTACTCACGAGAGTTGCGAGAGGTCCGACGACCTCCTCAAGCGTTTCTTTCAGGATTTGGGTGACAGTCTGGAGAGGCCTCGCGGCCGCGCTCGCAGTCGGCACAGCCCACACTGGCATCGTTGAAGAAGGCGACCTGGGCTGCTTCGAGCCCCAGCTGTCCCTAGCTCATCGCCTTGGGTTCGTGCTCGCCGACACACAGCCAGCACACAGCTGGTCAACTTCTGAACAGCTATCATGAAGCCGGGGGACTCCAGACTCGAGATGGCCACTGGACGAGAACCGATGTTCAATTCTAGTTGATTCTAGATCTGACGCTGGCAAGGGTTCCTGTGGCTTGCAGACGCGCTGCCAAAGTCCCCGTTTTCTTCGGAGCTCTGAATACCTTCAACAGGTCCCGTGGGCGGGCAAGTACTGCAGCAGCTCGTCTTGCAAAATCACGCAGCAATGCACTGCCTTGAAGTCTAAACTCGAACATGCATGCTCGCAACCTCGAAAGAGCGTACCTTGCACGACGCGTGTTCCCACCTGCTCGTCAAATGTGAAGCTTGCCAACTCGCCATCCTCGGGTGCCTTGCGGCGATGCCATCAGTCATCCCTCTATGGCCGCACTACTTTTCTCTTGAGAAGTTGGGTGGCACTGTGCATCGCCAGTGGGTGTGCCAAGGGCCCTTCACTATGCAGCGGGCCTGCCCATGTCTAGAAGATGGTGCTTCTAATTTTCAATTACAAGAAGCAAGAGTTCAACAAAAACCCAACCTTGCAGTGAAGCCTCATTGAGGTCAGAGCCCGCGACTGGAAGAACAGAGGCCCCTCCCATGTGAGCCCACCTTGTGGGCTTCATCGAGGGAGGCCCAGTAAGTTGGCAGCTTCCCGGCGTGGTACGCCTTATGGGGGCTGAGGTTTCGACTCGGAGGCCTCGAAGTGAGTCCGCGGAAAAGCCTGAGGTCTTATGGTTCGCAGGTTGAGGGAGACATAGGCTCAGGGTCTGATACTCCCTTTTTGGCTTCTGTCTGATACTCCCTTTTTGGGTCTTCGGTGCTTCTCCCTGCATGAAAGGCCTCAAAGAAGGCGTTCACGGACTCCTCGCTCAGGTCGGTGAGCCGGTACCTCGATACTCGGAAAGCCCGCTTTGGTTCTTTGCAATCCACGGGCCCAAGGCCCTCACGAGACGTCCCTAAACCATAAAGGCCTTCCAGCCTCCTAGGCTCGGAACATCTTTTGGTTGCAGTTCGGGTATTTCATGGCATTCGCAGATCGCGAACCCTCAGTGGCTCGGCTCAGGAGGCATTCCAGTGCATCTGGTGTTCGGTCCGCAAAGACCCAGCGAGCCCTTGGACCCTGAAACTCGAAGCATCGACTTGCAGCGTGGGGCACTTGTGAGGGTTTCCGTGCCAGTGGTTGCCCACAGGCCGATCCCCTAAGCCCTCGAGGTCCTTGAAAAGGATGAGCTCGCTCTCGAGACTCTCGTTGAGCCTGGAGGGCGTCTTGACACCAATCAACCTCCACCACCACAAAGACTACCGCGACCACGTCCAGTGTCTCTTCCCTGGCCCTTCCTCCTGCTACTCTTACCGCTAAAGTACCGAATAAACCTTACAAGAGCTTCTGCCCCTGTATGCCACGTCTCGACCGCCGGTACATCCTACAAGTTCGGCATCCGAGTGCGGCCAGGCGACCCGGCTTTGAGAGCCTTCCTCATGTCCAGCGTCTTTGCCTGCCCGGATCCCCCCTCTTGGACAAAGACACGAGAAACAAGGAAACAACCCCAAAATATCTCTGTTGGCCCAGCTGCTGTCTTTTCGACTACGGCAAAGCGGATCTTGCCTCTCAACTTCTCCTGCACAGCTTGGCTCCGATAACGTTGCTTCGGCTGAGCGGTGCAGACTGGCAGTCGGTAACTTTCGAGAGCTAGAAGCCGAGCCACCATGTGCGGTCGGAGGTAGCGAATTGCACGAAATTGAGGACCAAAGTCGTTGATATCCTCGAGATCAAAGCTCAAGCTCGGAGCTTTGACTTGCCACTTCGGGCCTCGCTCTCGTGCGAGTGCATGTCTGCATTCCCGTGTCGAGTCGCCTGGGGGCCTTCAATGAACCGTTCTTTCTGAAAGCCCCAGGCCAAAAGCCCTGGACCTCACATGGACCTGCGCCAGCCCAAGCACATCTCTTCACTGGACCTGGCCGAGTTTGAGTCCTTGATCTTCACCAGGACCAAGCCGACGCCGCCAGTGTTTGACTTGCCGAAGTACTTGTCAAAGGGGAAGGGGTTCTGCTTGCCCTGGTAGCCTGCCGGTTTTACAAACAACAGGACAGGTAGAAGGAAGCCAAGAGGATCAGAATCGGGGCCTTAGGTCAAAACCTGAGCGAAGAGCAGTAGCAAGAGCTGCGCGGCAGGCTTTGTCTGTCTTTTTTCGGCACGCATTCCCGATATTAAGATGTTGCTTCTGTGCACTCATGTGGAGAACTTACAGCTTCAGACAGAGAAACACTTTGCACGAAATGAGTTCTCTTTACTACACTTCATGACGCACCGCAAACTCAAACTCCCTAGTTGCTAACCCTCCAACCCGCGACGTCTCCCTCGGCCACCCCAGCTTTCTCTCTCAGCCTGCTACCCGGTAGTTGATGGTCGGGAAGGCATTTTCCAGTAGCCAGGCTCGAACTTCCTGGTTCAGGGAGCTTCTCCGGTCTGCAACGCTTTGCAGGCTGCGGGCGGCACCCATACTGTGGAAAATAGGCACATAAGGAGATATGTAACAAGTTCTACTAAGGCTGAAACCTTATGAGGACATGCATACGACATACCTCCGGCCTCCTCGAGGCTTTCTCACATGGGGTTTCATGCGAATCCAAACCTGGGTGCTTTAGAGCCTTGAGTTCGGCCGGTTCAGCGGCGTGCCTGGTGACGCATAGCTGAAGGCTCGGTTTGTGAACAGGGGAACTCTTTTACAAGGCAGTCAGACCGGGTCGCCTTCTCCTTCCACTTCTTCCCGCTTTTGCCTGGCACTTCGTAGACCAAATCATGTCGGCTCGAACTTGGGAGTTCCTATGCGGAGACCTAGAACTGCGCCCAAGTGGCCCGCGAAGATGACCGGCTCGGCATCCATCGGGGGCTGCTCTAACATTTCCCAGAGCCTGGCGGCGTAGTTCCGCCTGACGATCCTGAGCTCCACAAAAGAGCATCGCAGCACCGATTCCTGTGAGCTTACTAGACCAAGGCTCTGCAAGGATTCCTCCTCTTCCCAGTCGATGACGGCAGCCATGGGAATCTGCAGGTCCCAGAGCTCCTTCAGGACATTTTAAGCTGAGCACCGCTTGGCTTTCCAGAAAGGCACAAGCTGTCCAGGAGTGACTTTGAAAACTGGTCAACAGCCCACCCCTGCAATGCACCGGAACACCAACATTGCCCACCCCCGGGGCGACCGCATCTTCTGCAGTGTTGGCCCCCAGCTTCTGCAAGAGCCGATGATTCGGTGAGTCCTGCTTGGCACCCCTGTGGCTTTGCGAGCTTCGGCAGTGGCATCATGGGTGTGCAGTGGCGGATCCCATACCAAAACAAGATGGCCATCCGGCCACTGCTACAGGCAACCGCATCCCAACCCAATCAAGAGCGCGAGGACTCATTTTACACGAAGATCTCTCTCTCTCTCTCTCTCGCTCTCTCTCGCTCTCCCTCTCTCCTTCTGCTTCTCTTTTCCTTCGGCCTCGCCATTTACGAAGTAATAATTCATGGAGTGCGGGAGGTGGCCTGCTTCACATAGCCGACGCACACGGCACCCCAGGGCTCCATGTTGCCCTCGTAGAAAGGGTCCAGGCCCACCTCCTGGGAGTCCCAGGCTTCGGCTCGTGTTCGACTTGGGAGTTTCTCGTCCTCCTCCTCCCCCCCCCTCCCGCCACAAAAGAAAAGGCACGCAAAAAGGCTGCCTTGTCGTTGGAGCCGATCTCAAAAAGCTTCCGAGGCTTTCCGGCCGCTCCCTGGCAAGGAGAACTTCGGGATCGGTTGGCTCAGTTGCCCGGTTTTTGTTGGCTGCGCCTCTTGCGAAGAGCAGCTACGAAGGTCATGCCGTCGGTTGAATCGTAAACGTAGTAGAATGGCAGGAATGAGCTTCTTGACCGTGCACGGCAAGCTCACGTCAACAAGTGATCCAGCGCTGCAACACATCACAGCCACGGCAGGAAACGGACACCACAGGCGTGTGTAGACGCCTGGCTTCTGCCGTCTACTTTATCAACCCACACTTTACCGCCAAGCCAGGCCTGAAAGATCAGGAGGAGCAGTAGACGGCTCATGGCTGCAACAGTTACGCACATGCTCCGTGAGGTTAGGGCTGCGGGTCTACGGGTCTGCTATGGGCTCCAGGCCCGAAGGCACGGAAGCATGCTGACCTTTGGTGCTGCAATCATATGCAGGCATTCTGTGAGGGTCGGCTTTTAAGCGAGGACTAGGTGGACTCTGCTTCTGATCCATAGGTATGCACCATGCTCACCGACGGCAGCAATGGCTGTGGACCAGCAAGTCATCGCGGCGTTCACACTCGACAAGCACGGAACCCAAGAGCCACACCAACAGCGAAAGCGGGACCAACAAGGTCATCAAGACAGCATGCTACGGATCTTTGCCCTTCAAAAGAATCACCAGGATCATCACCATCCGAAGACGAGCGAGCAGACCAATCCCTTCCGGAACACTTCGAAACTGCAGGAAGATCTCTTTTTACTCAGCAGGCGTCTGCAAGCCAGATGCCTGTTCACGTCAAAGAACCCTGTGGCCCCATTGCAATGTGATTCGGATGAGATTTGGAACCCGGTGTCCATGTGTTTAAGGGTTCATGGCCGACGCGCATGCTGCGGTGGGCATCGCTGTGATCTTGCCTTCGGCAAAGTCTGGCAAAGGATCCTTGGAGGTTGCTCTTCCGAACGGACAAGACCTTCATGTGGGGGGGCCAGTGAGGCCTTACTCACGTCACGGTGCCAGCGGAAGATGTGACCAGTCTTCATGGTTGAAAAGAGAGCAACGCCCTCAAGGCCGCGAGCTGCGAAGCTACTGCGAGAGCTGGGTTGCTGCAAACACCTCCAACCTTGAACGCTTGCTTTGTCTTGCCTTGTTTTTTTGCAGGGCGCTGTGTAGTTTCAACTTTCATTTAGACTTCAACAGCATCTTGCCGAAGGTCGTGAGTACAATTCAAAGGTGCGGAGTGCATGCATGTGGGAGAATCCAAAGCTACCGCCGCTCGGCGGTTGACTGCAAGGCCAGAGTGAGACAGCCGAGAGCAGTTCCTTCACCATGGGTACATCAGGTCATGAAGCTCGGGGCTGTCCTGAGCTCTTGGGAAGCTTGAGGAACCCTGGTTTTTTGCTGATGGTTAGTTCGGTTGTCGGCTGGAGGCTCTGTTTTTCTACGGCTGTCTGTCTGTCTGTCTGCCTGCCTACCTGCCTGTCTGTCTGTCTGTCTCTGGCTGTCTGTCCATGCATCTATCTATCTATTTGTTTGTGTCGGAATCTACCTGTCTGTCTATCTATTATCTCTTTCTTTCGCCAGGGCTGTGGTCGAGGGTTGTGGCCCTCTTTCTTTCGCCAGGGCTGTGGTGCAGGGGGAGACCCTGTTGTCGACAGGGAAAGCAGTCACTAAGCAACAAACCCATGAGTAGACACTCAATCATGAAACCGAATAATGCGCCCAGCATACTTTCCCCGCTGCACCGTTTCAGCTCCTACGGGAAGCCCACCTTATCCCGAACAGAACCTCGCAAGCGCTGCCTGCACCTTCCCAAACCCCCCTGAAGCCTCCTCAGGGCTCTGTCTCTGTCCGTCTGGACGTCTGTGTGTCTGCATGTATGTCTGTGTGTGTGGGGGCCCTTCGTACTTCCCTCTCTCTCTGTCTCCAGTACTGCCTGTCTCACCGGCCCTTGCCCCACAATCCATGTATGTCTGTGCGCACATACACATATACGGAAAGCCAGCAATACATGTTGCACTTCCCCTCATATTCGCTTACCCAGAAAGCACTGCAAGCCACTGCCAAATGTTCTCAAAGCTTCGCCCCCCTCCCAGCGGCGCCAGGGAGCACGTAGCCGCGGGGCGTCCATTGGGTCTAGCGGAGGTGGCGGCGGGTGCATGAGACCTCTCGCAGGGGGGGCCTTCGAGCGCTTGCGGGTGTATGTTCCGTCAAGTAAGGCCTTGAAGTTCGGAGCACGTCATTTCAGGGTGTCGCACATCCAAGGAGTCATAGGGCCCTGGACAGAAACCGTTCCGATACCGCCTGCCACGAACGTTGCCACGGCCATGACCATGATCACCTCGAGGGATGAAAACTAATCCCCTCCGAGGAGAATCCGAACTTCCGATCCAAGCCCCAAACTTTATCAAAGAGCCTGGATCACCGCTCAGCTCTCTTGGGTCGCTTATATAGGAGATTCATGCATGGACGGAGCTGTAAGCATGTATCGACAGTGTACGGCTGCAGCACAATCGATACCAAAGCCTTTTTCCACACATTTCTGAAGTCTTTCAAGTCAGCCTGACGGCTGTGGCACCCTGGAGATCTGCATGCCGACGTGATGCGACGGTAACACACCGCATGGCCATGAGCACCGCCTCGTGATGGCTGCATTTGCAGGGAAGGACTTCATTTACAACAAAAGGGAAAGAGGAATTGCTTTTCGCACACACACACACACACACTCTGCCCAGACCGAACCGTGTCGAACCCCAACTGGATCTCGCACAGCCACGTGGAAGGGTTGTGTCTTCGGCGTCTTGACGACTGCAGAATGGATGAGCAGGACGATATGCAGCCACAGGAAAGGCAGGAATTCCTGGCTGCGAGATCACTGAGTGAAAGGGCCTTGACGCTGTAAGTACTAGTAGGCTGCAGGAGGGGGAAGGTCGGGACAGCAGGGTGTGCGCACGGGTACGAGTCAGAGAACAACAGATAGATCGGTGCATTTATAAGTGTATATGCACCTGAAGCTGTATGTATGTGTACTTGGGTATGCATGTATGTATATACACATATGTATGTATGTATG